AGCATTGTCAAAAGGGAAGATTTATCAAAAACCTTGGAGGCCATAAGCAACGTTCACAAGGACATCAAATTTACTCACGAAAAAGAGAGAGACGGCAAACTCCCCTTCTTAGATCTTCTCATCATCAGGGAAACGTCTTCGTTCAATTTCGAAATCTAAAGGAAACCAACAAACACAAAGAGTGAGAAAACTCTGAACTACTGTCCACCAACAAAAAAGCATTGACCTCCTGAACAACTTTGTCGAAGTCAGTAACTTTCTATCTGGTCAGGGCGAGAATTTCACATATATACTAGCACTACGTAGTGATAAAACTCTGAATTACCACCAACGAAAAGGTAATGATCTTTTGAACAAGTTTGCCCAAGACAGTAATTTTCTATCTGGTATGGATCTCGAGATATTCCATGTTGTAACCAATTAAGTCAAATCCCACGTAGTATCGAAACCGTTCACATGGTTTCCGCTTAAATGTTCCCTGTTATCCGCATTTTTGGGGGTTTACTGTAATTAAAGTTTAGTTTGTTTAGTTCAAAACAAGTTTTCTGAGGTTCATTCAATGAGGCCGATGAAGCAAGTCCTCACCAGACTTGGAAAAACACCCACCGGCACGGCGAGCCGTGCAATAATATTGCTCCCCGTTCAAAGCTAACACGCACTCGGTTTCGGTACCTCTTGTCGGCTCGCCACCGATACGAACAAGAAACCTGAACGCGGAGCCGTTTTATTCGGCTTGGTGCCGTGCTATGGTTTTTCGGTGCGCTCCGTGCGGCTCCGAGCCAGGGTCCGGTGCCAGACAGAATACCGTGCTTCTTCTTTTTCTTTGTTTCCATTATCGCAGTCTACCTGTAACTAATTTTTTTTTTGTTCCTTTTCTGATTGACCTTTCCGGCGATACTGTACCTCTTTACTCCTATGGGAAAACCCCACAAACAACTGACATTCTGTGCATGAAGCATGGCGGGCTGTTCCGTACTCTGTCGCTCAAATTAAAAATCTCAAAGGGGCTGTTCATTAGCTACGTATACAGTTTTTTGGGATTCCTGACCCCCCTAAAATTTTAAAATTTGTATGGACCGTGGACAATTGCCAACCCCCCCCCCCCTCCAACCTGTCTACGTAGTTTATGAACAGCACCTAAGGAACTATCACACTATGAAGAGCCAATGCCGTCAATGCGAATTAATGCAACAGCGATTTTCACCATGTAACATTAATGCGGCAAATATAATTGCCTTTAAACCATAGTTTTTTGTTCCGCAAAGATCAATTACAAGTTAATTGTTTTGTTCTTATTTTCCCCGGCGAAGACAATTTGCTTCACTATAACGTTAGGGGCTGTTCATTAACTACGTAGACAGTTTTTTGGGATTCTTGACCCCCCTCCCCCTGCGTAGACAATTTGTCCATACAATTTTTTTATAATTTGTATGTGCCGTGGATAATTACCAGGGGGGGGGGGCTCTAAACTGTCTACGTAGTTTATGAACAGCCTCTTATTTAGAAAACTTTCTTTAGTTAACGCAGCGCGGCACAACATGTACCAAACATAATCGTAGACGAGAATGATGAGTGGTAAAATTAGCACCAGAGCACTAAAGAACAAAACAATAGAAAAGGGCCCTTCAGTATTTGTAAACAAACCGTTCTAAAGACCTTTCCTCACTAAGCGAAGGCTACCCACGCAAACCAACGCCATATCATGTAGGGGAAACTTTTCCTTATCCGATGATGGTGTTGGTTTGCGTAGGCGGCCTTTGCTGTGTTAGGAAAGGGCTTTAGAACGATTTGTTTACAAATGCTGATGGGCCCTTTTCTATGGTTGATCTAGACATTTTGCTTCACTCAGTTATTCATAATTTTCAACATTTCGAAAATGGCCAACACATCCGTATCCGAACGGACCCTGTTCCTGTCGAGAGAAATGACGGACTCAATTAGGAACGCGTTTTAAGTTTGCTTCGCACCATGGATTCTTATGTAAAGGGAAAACCTACTTGCCCATTTTTCTAAACTATTTCAGAACAAATTTCTTGAGTTCATCGAGTATAATTAAACTATGAGCTACTTGCTACCACTTCCATTGAAAAATTCAGTTTTGACAAAAACGCAAATGGGACCGAGTATAGCGCATCACCAACAACGAACGATACGAAATCATGAGGACTCCTCACCAACTAGCAACAAAAATGGAATGAGAGTGATCTGAGAATATGGTTACATTCTATTCTCCCACAGGTATCGAACAAGCCGTGGTTCAAAGGATTGGACATGAGCCGTGACTTTATACGTGTCATGTTAAGGCTCATGTCCAACCACTACTCGTTAGACTCGCATTTCTTCCGAATGTATGCTTATCACGAGATCAACCACGTGGTTTGGTCATGCACTCTCCATTGTGTTGCTAAATCCGAGTTATCCGCATCCCTCAGGGACCGAGAAAAAAAAAACATTTGCGGCCCGTTAGAGACATCTTGGCGAGCCGAGATCTCGACTATTTAAATTTAATTTATGTGTTATTAAAACGGATCGATCTTAGTGCCAGTGTTAGTGGCATCTTGTGTTCTCCCAAGTTGTTAGCTGTCCATCGGTGTACCTCCATGTTTGTCTTTTTCGTCATTATGTCACTTAGTTCAAGATCAAGAGCACATTGCTCTTCAAACCCTGTGTTCTCAATCCCTTCCCTGTTACCCCTAACCTCGAGATAGCCGCGAGTTATCGACCCCTGCTTTACTAACGTTAGTTTTAAGTAAGTTTGTAATCCAAACACTGAATATCGGCTCCGTATAAAGGGTGATACGGTCAAAATTTGGTCAATATCAACTTGACGTATTTCTTTCAATTTTGCATTTAAAAAACCTGAACACCCCTCATTTTGAAGGTGTGTGTGTGTAGAATGTTGCTCCTATTTTGATTTTGGAATTCACTCTTCAGTTGTCAAAATGCCGTCCAAGCAAGAAGAGCAGCGTATCAAAATTTTGCTCGCGCATCGCGAAAATCCGAGCTACTCGCACGCAAAGTTGGCAAAATCGCTAAAAGTTGCCAAATCAACCGTTACAAATGTAATTAAAGTGTTTGGGGAACGTTTGTCGACAGCCAGGAAGTCTGGATCGGGGGGAAATCGAAAACCGGAAGCCGCTGAGACGACAAAGAGAGTTGCCGGTAGTTTCAAGCGAAACCCTAACCTTTTTCTCCGAAATGCCGCAAATAAGCTGGGTGTATCGTCTACAACCGTGCATCGAGCCAAAAAACGAGCCGGACTATCGACTTACAAGAAGGTAGTGACTCCAAATCGCGATGATAAACAAAATACGACGGCCAAAGCGCGATCCCGGAGGCTGTACACGACGATGCTGACGAAGTTTGACTGCGTGGTAATGGACGACGAAACCTACGTCAAAGCCGACTACAAGCAGCTTCCGGGACAGGAGTTTTATACGGCAAAAGGAAGGGGAAACGAAGCAGATGTTTTCAAGCACATGAAACTGTCAAAGTTCGCAAAGAAATATCTGGTTTGGCAAGCCATCTGTACCTGTGGCTTGAAAAGCAGCATTTTCATAGCTTCCGGGACTGTCAACCAAGAAATTTACGTGAAAGAGTGTTTGAATAAACGTCTGCTGCCTTTCCTGAAGAAACACGGTTGTTCCGTACTGTTTTGGCCGGATTTGGCATCTTGCCATTACGGTAAAAAGGCCATGGAGTGGTACGCCGCCAACAACGTGCAGGTGGTTCCCAAGGACAAAAACCCTCCCAACACGCCAGAGCTCCGGCCAATTGAGAAATACTGGGCTATTGTCAAGCGGAACCTAAAGAACACCAAAAAAACTGCTAAGGGCGAGCAGCAGTTCAAGGCAAACTGGCTTTCTGCGGCGAAGAAGGTGGACAAGGTGGCTGTACAAAATCTGATGGCAGGGGTCAAGCGTAAGGCCCGGCAATTCGGATTTGGAAAAGCGGAAGCCTAACTGAATATTTTTCCTGAATTTTATACTAATTGAACTTGAAAAAGAAATTTAATTTGATTTTTTAAATAAATGATTTCACCGATTTACACGCGTTTTCCCTTAACCAAATTTTGACCGTATCACCCTTTAATAAACGTATTATAAATAAAAAGTTTTCTGAGGAATAGGTACCCATTCGGCAGCAAAATGGCAATGGAAAACTCACACTGTTGTACAAAGTACAACATGCGCGTAGTCGTGTTACAAAAGTTGACGCAAGTAATGAAAGGTTAAAGTTCTCTAGACTGCCCTAAATCTCTCAGTATTTGTTATGAGAATCCACAATGTTCCTGAAATGTATAGATTAGCCTTGAAGTTTTCACAATTTTTCTTAAGTTTTATAAACTTTATGAACGCTCACGGAACTTTGCCTTAAATCACTAATTTTCCCTGAACTTATCTGGACATCCCTAAAGTTTTCTATGCTAACATGAAGTTCTCTAAATTTTATTTATGTTCCGGTAGATTTTCTGATATTTATATATTCATAATTTCCTGACGCTTTTGAAGTTTTCGGCTCAATAATAGAATTCTCAGGATATCCCATAATTCAACGGAACTAATTGTAAGTCACTGTAAATTTCCTTAAGTTAGTTACTTAGAAACTCTCTGGATTTTCATGAAGATATCGGTGCTAGCTAAAAGTTCTCGCATATATTTTGATTAATGATTTCATGACATATTGATGATTAATTTGTTTATGACAAATAGATTTAAAGGATTTAATTGCTTATCCAATCAAAAAAGCTTTTTTTTTTATAAATTTTTTAAAGTTCTTGAAATTTCCATGACATAACACCATTAAAATACTATCACATTTCCGGATATTCATATAATTTTTATTGCGTTCCAGAAATTCTCTCGGAGCTTTGCTGAAGTTTTTGGAAATTCCCTGCGTTTAATGAAACTTTGCTTACTAACCTCATTGATGTTTCTCAATTGTAAAACACCTTGGATGTTAATAAGTTAACATTCATCCTATGGAAACATGACACCTACCTTTTTCTCGAATAACTCTCGGATGATGGGAACTGTTGTTTCCTGTGAATGCAGAAGACATTTAGTATTCACACATCTATATTCAGTGTAATATGGGTCTAGACTAGGTTTTTAAGAAGAATGTTTACAGTGAAAATTTTGTAGCTATTTGCGAAAATTAAGGTGATAAAATTTGTTTTCTAGATCTTCCATTAAGAACAAAATTCAACATCCTGGATTTAATTCAGTTTTAAAGATCCTCGAGAAATCTTTTCGATATCTTGGAATTTCAATTTAATATGGATATTAAGTCAACTTATAATCCTCGAATACATACAAATATCTAAATCTAGGGTCAACCAAATTTTAGAAAATTTCAAAATTAAAATTAGGATTTGAAATTTGTTTGACACGTTAATATTGTACTTACTCGAAACAATATCTTATGATAGCCGATATCCCGGAACGATAGAACCAACGCACTATCGATGATCTCCCGGACCGTCTCCGGTCCCCTACCGGGAGAGCTGAGCAGACCTCCCACAACCGCAGAAGTGTAATAATTGTACATTACCAGATTCATCATCAGCAATGAAGAAAGGGCAATTTTAATCGATAGCCTTGGAGAAATTCGACTTGGTATGCCTTGCTGCGAGATGGTCCCAACGACGTCGACAATGTAAGCCGCCCAGGAAAGATTCAATTCATGTTTGTACGTCTTGAAAACTATGAGACCAACTAGTTTCAGGACGATCACTATCAGTACTGTTGTAACTGATGATGCCACCCAAACGCTGCTACGGAATGGCGTAAAGAAGTTTCCTGCTCCAGATACGCTGGCCAATTGCGGCGTTATGCGGTAGATGAATCCTGATCTGAAACGAAAAATGATTGATATCATCTGCAGATAACAAACAAATCATTATGACCGACTTAAATTCCCAACTCTGATGAATAATATCGAACTCAGCATGGCGATTGATTCTCTGAAATATGCCAGATGCTGCAACGTCCGCTTCATTACGGCTAAGTATGCCGAGCATTCCAAGGCGGTACCCATTTTTGAGACGACCTGACCAACCTCGCGCTACGCGGTATTTGATGCTGCAATAATGGCATCATTTTCTTTGAGTTTGAATCAAATGACTCATAAGAAACTTACGAGAAGTTGTGATAATTACGCAAAAAACTCAGCAAAGCATAATGATACTTGACGAATACCACAATTCCGGGTTCGCTTCCTGGCTCCGATAGAATTCTATCTACATCATTCACAGCAACGTTATCACGATCAATCTATTAAAACATAAATCATTTTGATCATATACCTACTTTAAATTTTTTATCATCGCTTACCACAGTTGTGCCACGCAGTTCAATTCCATCAAAATTTCGTCTCGTATAGTATCTATTATAGCCGAAATCAGTTACCAATCCTTCATTCCTATCCCACTTTCCGTAATTGATCTGAAAAATATCTTTGCACAAATGTCTTCCTCTGGCATACACATCTTCCAATTCATACATTGTGTCATTGCTTCCACCCACTTCCTTTGCATTTGTCACATCGGAATTCATCTGAATAGATTTCAACTGCCAAAGAATTGCGTTCACATCCACTGATGAATCATTGTGATTTAAAAATAACCAACTGTACGTTGAGTTGAAGTAACGGTGATCTGAAAACTGATGTATCAAGTTGTTATTAACAATTTTTCATAGTACTGCCAATTTCACAAACTTTCTGCAGCACGTCCAATGAACCACTGCAACTGTAATCGAAAATGCATGCCGTTCGCGCGTGATGGTCCTGCGGTAGCACTTCCGGTGCCATCAAACCCTCACTCTCGTCGATGTTTATGAATCTCATTGAAATATTACCATCTTTCATTGATCGGTGTATTCTGCATGCTGAAAAAATGGGATTACGTTTGTAAATTAAACTTTGTGAAAACTGCACTCAACTAACACTCCAAAACATCGCACAGGAAAAAGACGACACTTTTCGATTGCTTCAACTTGATGAAATCGGCTATGAAGTTCGTGTTGATGGCATTTGCACTGAGAAGCAGCGGCGAAAGCACCAGAAACAAATGTATGAGCAACATCATGCAGCAGAGCCTTCGACATGATTGCTCGCAACTTATAAAGCCACTGATTTGAATCATGATTGATGTTTCGGTGGAACTTATTAACAATTGAAAACCAATTTCCGATTCTAGATCTTTCGAAACAAAGTGACAGGTAAATTAGTAAAAATTGCAGTTGAAGGCAACTTTCAATTTGATTTCACCCAGATTGTGAAGGTCATTTTTGATTTGCGTTGATTGTCGGGCCAATTACCAATGTATGGTCAAAGGTTTTACGTTTCTTAAGGCCTGACAGCGTTAAATTCCCGAATTGAATGTTCATCGAATGAACATTCTGGAATAATGAGAGAAGATAGCCAATCTTCTCAATGAACTAAACGTTAAATATGAACCAGCCAGTGTGCGCTCTTCCTTTCTTTGATTTTAGTTGTCGCGATGTATCCAGATATCCTGAGGATCGTCTTCAGGCCACCCTGAAACAGCATCGATAGGGTGATGGCTTATTTCCTCTATACTCAAGATTGCATGCAATTTAGAAAAAATCGCGGATCTCTGCACAGAAAAAATTCTGAATGTTAACTATCGCGCAAAATCTCCTTTCGTTTAATTTTGAGCTACTTGGCATAAGCAGCGAAATCGTTTGCAAGCATGCATACAATATTGCTAATTTATGCGAAATATTGCGTAAATTTATGCCAAATCTAGCGTTAATTTTATGTGCGCTATATCTCGCAGAGATTTCCATGAATTTTTCAAACGGTGTGGGTCTAGCTAGGGAAATAAATAGTTTCCCAGTGAATACGGATATCCAGAAGGACGTTTTATGGCCACCGAAGGATTCAACTAATATAGAGCTGAGATATCTCTTCTCAACTGAGGGTTCTTCAAATTAAAAAAAAAATCAATAATCTCTAGGTCTACCTCAAGAAATTGACCTTCGAATGTTCAGAGGACCGTTTTCTGGTTACTCGGGAGCAGCATAGATATACTTACCTTACCAATCAGGTTAAGGCCTTGTTGTCCTCTGCTGTCCGAAGAAGTCGTCTCCACTCTACTCGATCCATGGCCACAGTTCACCAGCCTCGTAGTCTGCGATAATCTATCGCAACCCGGGAAGCCGAGCGATTTGCAGTTCCATGTTCCAAATTTCCAATCGTAGTCCTTATTTCGTCGCGTAGGTCTGTGCCGATTGTTCCGATCCGTATTTCTTTCTTCGGTATTTGCAACTTTGTTTTTTTTTTCCAGGGCGGCTTGTTGGGCCTGCCCCAACCCCCTGTCTCGCCGGGGGACCATCGTGCACAGCTCTGTTTAGAGTCCCACGCTGGCACTAGGACGGTGATCAGCCACTCCTAACATTGAGAACAGACGCCGTTTTGAGCCGCACCTCCATGGTGAACAGACGCTCGGGTTTGGTGAAGCATTTCCTCTATCACCGTTCTATGGTTACCGCGCCAGTGTTCGCGTCGCACCTCTTCACTTTGCTATTGCCGGACTGGCAACATTGCCCAGGCTACGCCACCCAGCTGTGTCCATGTTTCAGCTGGTAGTCTTTTGTTATCATATGACTCGAGGAGGCGTGAAGTAGGAACTTGTGAGGACCACGGCTAGGTATTCCGTTCCTTCCAGATTGTCAACTCACCATTTTGGAGCATAGATATGGTGATGGCATATTTCCTCTGAGCTCATGATTGTATGTAATTTAGAAAAAAAAAATCGTGGATCGCTGTGACTACTTTGGGCCCACGCATTAATTATGACAGGCTAAATCGAGCAAAAAATTACCCCCTCCCCCCTATCGTGACGTTTTTCTTATACCTAATGCATTACTTGTCACAAAATCTTAGACCCCCCTCCCCCCTTAGAGCGTGACATAATATATGCATCAACCCTTTTAGGAAATAACCAATTTCCCGGTGAATCCGGATAGCCATACATAGACGGGCGTTGTGTGGCCACCGGGGGATCGAATCAATATGGGCTGAAATATCTTTTCTTAACTTAGGGTTCTTTACATTTTCACGAATCTCTAGGTCTACTTTCAGGAATTGACCTTGATTCCAGTAATTCTGGATATCCAGAGGACCGTTTTCTGGCTACCCGATAGCAGAATCGATGTAGTGATTTGTGGCATGTTTCCTCTATACTCATGCTTGTATGCAATTTGGAGAAAAAAATTCGTGGGTCTCTAGGTCTACTTTTAAGAATTGATTGTTTTTCTGATGATTCTGGATATCCAGAGGACCGCTTTCTGGCCACCCAGTAGCAGAATCGATATGATGATGACATATTTCTTCTATGCTCATAATTGTACGCAAATCTAGAAAAAAACGCGGATCTCTATGTATACATTGAAGAGTTTACTGTTTTTCCGGTAACTCCGAATATCCAGAAGACCGTTTTGTGGCCACTTGGTTGCAGACTCGATTTGGTGAAGGTATATTTCCTCTATGCTCATGATTGTATGAAATTTAGAAAAAAAAATCGCGTTTCTCAAGGTCTACTTTCAGGAATTGACCGTTTTCCCGGTGAATCCGGGTATCCTGAAGGACGTTCAATATCCACCGTGGGACCAAATCAATATGGCACTGAGATATATCTTCTCAACTAAGGGTTCTTCACATTTTCTAAAAAAGCATGGATCTCCAGGTCTACTTTACAGAATTTACTATTTTCCCGGTGATTCCGGATATCCAGAGAACCGTATTCTGGCCACTCGGTAGTAGAATCGATATGTAGATGTCGGATTTCCTCTATGCTAGTGATTATATGCAAGTTAGAAAAATTCACGGATCTCTAGGACTACTTTCAGGAATTGACCATTTTCCCGGTGAATCCGAATTTCCACAGAGCCACTCCAATCGATTCCTTGTCTGTTCCGGTTGAAAGTAGATAGTCATACCTTTCAAGTAGTGGCTCAATATTAAGATGTGGTAACCACATTGCCGAAAACCAGTCATGTCAGCATGAATCGACGCTCATTTTGCTTGGGACTTTTCCGGGTTTTTCCGTTCCGGCTGGCCAACCACAGGTCCAATTGGTTTTCTACCTATTCTAAACGAAAGAAGCCATACCATACCATACCTTTTGAGTGATGGCTGAATCACAACGATTGGTCATTGCATTCCTGAGAACCAGCCATGTCAACATGCATCGACAAGCATTTTGCAGCCTTGGGGTTATGTCAGTTAATAAAGAAAACAAAAACAAAAACCAAAAAAAGAAAAAAAAAACTAATTCTAAATGATTTTGCTTCCATAAACCAATAAACTGTACTTGACATAATTTCTCATGCTTAATTTGCTACTTTTGAACCTAATCAGATCACCAGGTGCCCCTGGAAATGAAGGAACCCTTATTGCCTTGAGCACTAAGAGATGGCACTTGGGTGTAGCCACAGGAGTGGAACTTTGGATCAGAAAGTGGCTCCACTTGTCATTTGCGAACACTAGCGCACCTAGCGGTAGAAGGCATCTTCTGCCTGCAGTTAAGATAGGCAGCATGCTATGATAGTGTGAGTGCACATAGAAAGCCCGTGTGGAACGCTACCACAACACATCGCTTGTTGAGCAGAAAAACGAACACTTTTTGATTCACCGATTTGTTTGCACTTCTCCTTCTGTTCTGTGGTGTAGCGTTAGTTTGAAAATAATGTGGTGATGTCACGTAAAGGACTGTTGAAGGGTTCATAATTGAGCCGGCGCCGGTGGTGTAGTGGTGAGCGTGACTGCTCTCTCACCGTAATGGGTCTGGTTTCAATCCCAGCCGAGGTCAGTGGGATTTTTCTGAGGCATACAAATCGCTGATCACGTCTTCCTTCGGTCCCGACCCCCATGTGTGTTGAATGGGTGCAATATCCTACGCAGGTGTGGAAGCTGCCTTCCTGCACATTCAAATGTCGTCAATGGATGTTAATCGATGTCCGTCGGTGATTGGCACTAGATTGCGGAACAGAGACCGACGTTAAATATAAGAATGAAGGGTTCATAATCAGTGCTGTCATAGAGCTGGATTCCCACATACTTGTCATATAAGCACCCTCACCTTAAGGACTTAATGACTGTTCACTTTATAAAACGGACACACTTTCAATCCCAATTTTTTTGTATGTCTAAAGGTTGAACACAAAAAAAAAAAAATCCGGGTACATTAAAAACACTACCATTAAGGCATTTTTTGAGTAATTTTTTTCAAAATTTCATTGTATAGAATCACAGTAGGCATTGGTTGTCAGCATAAGTTCGTTTGCTTACATCATGGCTTCACCGGAGCCGGCTCAAAACGAAAATAGCTCTAACCACTCGAGAGTAAGCAAAACTTTTGAATTTATCGAAATCCTGGGCAGGAATGTTATATCTCGGTGTACCGGAAGAGTGCCCCGAATGAATGTAAAATCAAAAAGAAGTTGAAATTCCCCAAAAAGTTCCTTGTCTGGCAAGCAATCTGAAGTTATGGGCTGGAAAGCGAAACTTTCGTTACTCCTGGGACTATGAACCAGCTAATTTACCAGGCGGAGTGCCTACGGAAGAGACAACTGCCTTTTCTGAAGCAGCATGAGGTGTATTGCTTATGTTGGCCTTACTTGACAAGTCTAGATAGAGCAGGAATTAGGGCGTAACAGCTTTTGTAAACAATGACTTCTATCGCTGATTTCTAGGAATTCAAGGCATGTCCACGCAGACCAACATAACCATCGGATAGGAGAAGTCTTTCCCTACCCGATGAGGATGTTGGTTTGCGTGGGCGAGCCTTAAATTTCTAGAAATCATCAAGAGAAGTCATTGTTTACAAAAGCTGTTAGGCCCTAATTCCAGCTCTATCTAGAAGTGGCCACTACTCAAATTCCACCAAACAGTGCACAGTGGTCCAGAATGCAGATTTAGGTGGAATGATATGTTTTGAGGCTGAAATTGAAACTTTAGACTAAAAGTCTCTTCTACAAAGTTCTTTCTTATAGTTAGGCCCTCATTTTTATAACAATGAATTCTAGGGTGGTTCGTATTATCATTAAAATCAAAAATCTAACTTATTTGTTCGAATAAATTAAGGTATACATTCTTCGGCAAATTTATAGCTAAGCTAATTTCAAGCAACTTTGTAGAAAACAACTTTTTTGTATCTCTTAAATTGGCCGATTTAGAGCTATTTTCTTGAATTCAGTTAGGGTGGCTCTAAAAACATCCACAAACCCGACAAAGACCCTACCAGTGCCAAAAGCTATCTCCCGACCAGCCTCTTGTCATCCATCTCGAAGCTATTCGAAAAGTTGATACTCAGCCGTCTGCTGGTGTTTTCAAATGATAATAACATCGTTCTCAAAGAGCAATTCGGGTTTAGTAAAGGCTACTCTACCATCCATCAACTCGCAAGGGTTACTAACATCATCAAGTGGAACAAGTCTCTTCTCAATACATTTGCCATGGCATTGTTGAACGTTGAGAAGGCGTTCGACAATGTCTGGCATGATGGCTTAGTGTACAAGCTGCATTGATACAATTTCCCGATCTTCCTTGTTAAGATCATCAAAAGCTACTTGTCAGGCAGATCATTTCAGATCTTCTTGACAATTCACCTTCTGATACGTTCAACGTTGATGCTGGGGTTCCCCAGAGTAGCCTCCTTCCTCCTATCCTCTTCAACATCTTCACGTCAGATGTTCCTCCTCTTCCGGGTGGTGATGCCATCATCTACAAGGGTCGAGTGATCTGTGCTCTGGCGAGAAATCTTCAATCAGACCTGGATGTTCCGTTCGACTATTTCAAAAGATGGTAGATTAGTATCAATGCAGCTAAAACACAGACCATACAATTTCCGCATTCCAATTCACCTCGGCTTGTTCCGCCTGATAACTTGAAAGTCCATCTTGATAATACTCCCATTGAATGGTCGAGCGAAGTCGTCTACCTTGGTCTCACCCTTGATAGCAAGTAGCTGTTCCGTTCCCATGTGGACAAAACATCCGCCAAGTGCAACATCTTGATTAGGTCGCTCTACCCACTTTTCCACATGAAAGTTCACAGTTTCCCTTGAAAACAAGCTTGCCATCTACAAGCAAATCATCCTCCCCGCCATTGAGTGCAGAATGCAAATCTGGGAGAGCTGTGCTAAGTGCCATCACCTTAAACTCCGAAGGATCCAGAACAAGATCCTTAGGATGATCCTAAACAGTCCCCCGCGGACTCGAAATTCTGAAATCCACCGCCTGACTGGTCTTCAGACTCTAGAGCAGCGGAGTACGCTCAGCCTCGGAAGGTTCAGAGACGCCTGCCTGAGATCAAATCACCAGATCATTCGCGATCTTGCTAATTAGGTTAACTTATTAGTATCTAAGTAGGATATCAAATTCTTTTTTAAATTCAAGAAAAACGCACCCCAAAGGGGTATCCTGTAACCGTAAACACGTAAATTAGATTAACAAATTAAGCAAAGATGAAGAGCCCTTCAGGCTAATCAATTGGAATATGCGAACAATGTAAAAACATAATCAAGGGGAAATAAAAGTAATTTTACTACTTTACTACTACTCGTTGACGGCATTATTGTAACGCATTTTGGAGGAGACGGAAGCAGAAGAAACAGCAACAGCAGCATTGGAACCAGCCGCAGCCGTGGGAGAGCTGCACCATCAATTCGTGTAGCTGTGGCTGACGCTGGAAACCTCGGTCCGGCTACGATACTGACGATGGTTCTAAAAAATCACGTTACTTAAACCATTGCACACTTTATATTGGACTACATATTTGCACCAGCCAGTGTGTCCTTTTCGCAATTGCCCCTCGCCGTAAAATCTCACGGACACTTAAGTAAGCTTCTGTTCGAAAACAACTAAACACGACCCGCTGTGACTACCGTCAGTCTTCCACTACGGCCTCCATGATCATTTAAGGGCGTACGCGTATGCATAAGGTCAAGCGCCAAGCCTGCATGCCCGATTGCGACCGTGACATTTATTTTCTTCCTCAAAACAAATTATTGATCATGAGCAAAATCTTAACTTATCGCACGGACCCAACCGTACAAACCGAACAACAGACCGCACGCGATTGAGGCCATCTCATCGGGTAGAAACGGGAATCAATAACAATGAAAACACATTTTTTAGAACATTTTTCAATTGGAACGTACCGTAAAACGGGGTATCTTTGATGATGCGGGTAACTTTGATAGAAGAATATAATGATTTAATTTACTCTCTGCACTTATTCCGAATTTGAAACATTGGTTTCATATTGTAGCTTAGGGTATTTTCGTTGATATTGTATACAGTTTGTGTTGAATATTTTCCAAACCTTTTCTTGTTTTTCACTTGTTTGAAAAAGCACTCAAACCATCTTTTATGAAATGTATTTCCGATATAGCCATTACAAATTCAATCTTGATATTGCTTATGATGTTCTCTGATTTTATACCCATTCAAAGATTCATATTTCGTGAAATAAATTGTTTCAGGTTCACGCATTTTCTCCTACATTCATCGAGCATTATCAAAGTGATCCCAAAGCAAAAAAAAATATGTTTGGTGAGTAAGTAACAAGTAAAGTAAAGTACAAATGCAATAATTTCCGCTAAACATATTACTTACGAATTTACTCTTGTAAACTCAGTACTTGTTTTAAAAAAATAAAATTTGAAAACCTTCATTGCTGTAAAAATATGTAGAATATGCTGACAAAAAACTATCAATGTTACCCCGTTTTACGGTATTCATCAAATCTATATATAACTCGACAGACAGCATGCAAAAGGGCGTAGAGGCGATGATCAATTTTCTTCGTAGATTTTCTCTTTTGTTAATAACTCGCTAGATTTAACGTTTCTCGGTGCATTTGCTAATGCTTTTGATAGCCACAACTCTGCATTGAACAAATTCTAGAAAATGTTTTCGCTTAGCTGTAGCAATGCATAGAGAAAATCGATGAAGAGAATCGATCATCGCGTATACGCCCTTATGCATGCTCACTGTAGAACTGCCCGAGAGCGCGTATAGAGTTCTCTACCACCGTTACTATTAGTGAGCAGTTTCACTAATACATGCATTTTACTGGTTGAAAATAGAAAACAAACCGCTGTCAAGTCGAACACTTTGACAGCTGATTTCGTGGTTGAAAATAATAAACAAATCGATTTTACCCGGCTTCACTAGCAAGGTTGTATTAGTGAGATCTTGCGGCGAGAAGTTAATTCCAGAAGCCTGCACGCATATTTCTCCTAATCAAATCTTAAGCCGCACGATACTTACAGGGACTCAATTCCGTCAAAATTTGATTTACTCAAAAGTTAGTTGAGATACATATATATTGTCAAAGACATTTTGATATATATATATACATAGGGGAAATGGAGGTTATGTCGGCCTAAATGCCTCTAATTTGGGCCCATACATAAATTCAGCAATCCGCTAAATTTTCAATATCGACCAAAAATATCCATTAGTACCGTCCCAATGACGCGTTCATCTAGATAAAATTGATAAATAGCAGATTTTTAGCGATGGGCCCAATCTTAGATCCATAGGCCAACATTAGAGCCATTTCCCCTATATAGCAGGGTGGGTCATCAGGATTATTTTTTCAGAACAATATTTTTTTACTTCCATTTGGGGTACCAAAAACCTGTGCAAAATGTGCATTCTGCATTGCCGTATGGAATTTGTATGAAAATTAGTATGGGAAAACTACTTTTTTGCATTTTCATTCCTAAGGACCACAATTTTACTTGAACCATGCAAATAATCATGAAAAAGTATGGTCCAGGAAGTGTCTAAAACCTTTGCCCAATTGCTCTATCTCATATGCGAAGTTGGAGAGGGGAGAAGGGCTTACTATACCATCTCCCATCTCATTGGAAGTAAAGTTTCAAACTGAAATAACTTTGAAGTTTTTATCTTATCTTTTTTTTTTTTTTTTTTTTGTTATAGTCACTTTAACACTCTTGGGTCATTCGTGACTTGTCCGGGGGTGAGATTTGAACTCGTGACTTTGGCGTGAGAGGTATGGATGTTAACCACTACGCCGGGGTCGCCCCCAACTTATCTTATCGATTTGGTATGTTCAGATGAATTATTCAAAGACAAGGGGTGTCTCTACCCCCGCCCCCTCACTAATATAATTGGAAGTAAATCATCAAAGTACAATAACTTCGGTGTTTCTCATCTTGTCAAGTTGGGATGTTCAGATGTGTTATCCAACATTAGTTGCTCAATCTAATAAGCATTGTTAGGGGGGAGGCTTACTGTATCCAGTCCACCTAATCACTTATATCAATAAAAGTAAAGTTTCAATTCATCTGCACATACCATTATAAGAAACTTCGAAGTTATTTCAGATTGGAATCTGACTTCCATTGGTACATCGGCAGTGTTGGCAGAAAAACATATTTGTGGCATTTAATTCAAACCAAGAATATTTGAACAACTATAAATTTTTAGAGGCATTCTTGCACCGTACATCTTTCGGCAAAGTTGTTAGGCACTTCCTGAAATATATTCGTACTTGTTTAGTTGCATAGTTCAAGATAAATTGTGGTCTTTAGGGATCAAAATGCCAAAAAGTGGGTTTTCCCATACTAATTTCCATACAAATTTCAAACGCAATGTGGAAAACCGGATTACAACCCATTGTCCCTAAATTTTGCACAATTGTTTGGGACCTCAAATGGAATAAGGGTTGTTCTCGCTTGATGAGCTCAATTTTGCGTTTTTCCATATAGTTGTGGCCAACCCTAATGTCGCCTTTTCAGCCTTTCGTTGCGAACCCAAACAAAGTCCTTGAACGTTCATTTGTGGCAAGTTTCAGATCATTCATAGGCCAAAATTGTGTGCTCAAGTGCACTCAATGTTGGCAAATCGATGCACTGAAACATTGCAAAAATTAGCGCTCAAGGACTTTGTTCACCCCCTTGACTATAATAGATAAAGGTATTTCCCAAGCCGCACCTAAGTTCCTAATTCTACTTTTGAATACAAACTTCGACAAATTAAAATCAAAGACAGCACTAACATTGTTAAACGCCCTAACACAATTATTAATAGGGTTGTTATACCTGACTAAAAATAATTCTCGTTCATGAAGCCGTCGAGAAGGTGCATAAAAGTTAATATTCTGCAGCAGTGAAGGGCAATCCAGGTTACCCTTGACAAGATACAAATAACCTCTGAAGTTTAGTGCGTCTGTGAGCTAGAGTTTCCATGTTTATAAGGCTGCAACGGCTTGTATAGTCAGGAAGATTTACTGGATCATTCCACAGAAGTTGTCGAAGAGCATACCGTATAAAGCTACGTTGAACCCTTTCCATTCTGATGATCTGCTATGCATGATAAGGCGACCATATGTATGGTTCTTCATTGAATACTTACCTTGTATTAAATATACTTTATTTCTTTTCTAACATACATACCTTGCGACAGACAATAAGATGGACGGTGTTACTGGCAGCCCTGGAGAGAGGAGATGGCTAGAGAAGGGAGTCGAACCGCGAGTGCAAGCCAGTGCACAACTCTAATACAAAGTGTATTCGTAGATTATGAACCTCTCAGTTAATCTACCATAATAAAGAATTGGAAACCCTACACCATACACTAACAGCATATTCCATGATGCTGCAAACAATTGAACAGTACAGTGCCTTGAGAGCATATATATCGGTGAAGCCACTTGTATTGCGACGAATAAATCCCAGGGCCGCAAAAGCCTTTGCGGTAGTTATGCTGACATGCTAGTTGAACCGGAGTTTACTGTCCAGAGTGACCCCTAGGTCGCGTATTGCTTAAACACGTTCTATAGCCGCTGAGCTGATGGAGTATTCAAACTCTGTTCGGGATTGTCGGCGAGAAAACGAAATGACTTTGCAGTTTTTGCTGTTAAGTTACATTCTATTCTCACAGCACCATAGCAGAAGCTCGTCAACATCGGCCTGAAGAGCACAGTAGTCGAGATGCGGTGATATCACTTTGTATATTTTCAGATCGTCAGCGTAAATCAGTAGGCTCGATTTCAGCCGGAACCTTGTGAAACGCCTTCGAGAAATCTTAGTTGTTTTTTTTTTTAAATTCTTTATTTAAGAGATTTTTAGCCGAAGTCTAGTTCATCTCTAACAAGAAATCTAAGTTTATGGCATCAACTTGGTGCCGATTCTAGATTTTTGAAGAGAGGAAGTGTACGTAGGACATCAGGTTCGTCGTCGTAGATCGCTTCTTAACAAATCCATGTTGAAAGTCCGATATCAGCGGTGTGGAGGCGACATACAGAGCTTTGTGAACCAATTGTTCGAACACTTTAGCTAGACCGCATAAAATCGAAACACCTCTGTAATTTTCAACAGCATGATTGTTACCAGCTTTGAAGATCGGGGTGATTGAGGCTAACTTCCACGCTTCGGGAAAAGTACTTTCACTGAGTGACTTGTTAAGAATAATCGTTAGCGGCATCAGCAGTGAACCAGCACATTCTCTTAAAAACAATGGCGGTATGTTGACAGTGCCAGGCCCTTTCGAAACGTCTAACTTATGCAACTGACAACTTATAGCTGACAACTAGAGGTGGCATCCATGCATGGTAGGTCCTAACACTGTCAGGAGAGAATGTCGGCGATGTTGTACTGTGCACATTCTCGAAGAATTCGGCTAAAAGATTAGCTAGCTAATGTGTTGAATCAGCAGAGGAATTCTTCAAAATCATCTCGGCAGGAATACGATTGGATTGCTTACGGCTACGTATAAACGACCAAAAGGATGACGGGTCTTGCTTCGCGATCAGCTCAATTCGTCCGATGTAGCTACGGTATGCAGCAGTCCGGCAATCGCTGTAATCTGTTTCGAGTGAATGTAGATTGATCCGGTTCTCAGCATTCCGAGCTCTAAAATAGCGTTTTCTAGCTTTACGCACAACGTTACGGAGATGCTGTAACTTAGATTTCCACAGTGGATGCTTGAACGAATAAGATCTACTTCGTCTACGTGGAACAAGTTCCTCCAGAATGTTGTTCAAATGTCTCAAAAAACGTACGTACAATTTAATACGTATTTGTTGCACGAAACATTTCAATCCAATCGATACATTTCGATACACTTCTTAAAAATGACCATACAAAACAATTTCTGCATAGTCTCAAACAAAGAATCAAACTCGCTATTTTCAGAAATACGCTTTATTCTGTTATTGAATCTAGTGTTCAGAATCATAAGCACCTAACTGCGATGATCGATTCTCTTCATCGATTTTCTCTTTGCGTTACTACTAGTTATTTAAATCAATTTTCCGAAACGTTTTCAATACAGTGTGGTAAAAGATTGTATTAGCTGGCAAAAGAAACATCATACACACCGAACAATGCTAATCGAACCGAGCTATTAGCAAAAGAGAAAAAATCTATGAAGAGAATCGATCATCGCAGTTAGGCCCTTATGATTCTGAACTATACAAGTTAGGCCGGAACAAATCACAAGTTTTTCTTTTGTCACTCGATGCTCGCACCAGTCAAGGGGGGGGGGAGGAATAAAAAATAAACCAAAAAAAAAAAACATTTTAAATTCGTTTTACATTACATCTAAACCATGTATTTCAAACGCTAACCTTTTTTCTTAGCCTTCGCATTAGCATTATACTTCTTTGAAGCCGTGATTTTTTACACTAATGCCACAAATGTTGACTTTATTATATGTAACACTCGGGTTATCAACAAGACATTTCGCGCATAAGTTTTTGTATCCTTTCAAGCAAGAACATTGGTAATAATGTAGATAAATAGGAGCAACTGATTTTGATAAATTCCGGATAAACCATCAAGCGGAATACCACAAACGTAACAGTTCTTATAAAAAACGTTCTGTTTATGATAGTTCCTCCCTATCGAAATATAACTCAGTTTTCTCAACAATTGTGCTTGCTTCAAAAAAATCTAAATAGACGTTTGGATTCAGGTAGGTCTATTCAACAAAATCCAAGTGTAATATTCAAACGAAGGAGCTGAAATTCAACTTGGCTGAACAAGAAACCCAAATTTCTATAAAAATGAGTACTTTTGAGAATTCAAACCTAGTTTTCTAAAAAAAAAGTGCATGCTTCAAAAAATGTATCATCACGTATGGATTCAGCAAGATCCATTCTATAAAATCCAAGTCTATTCAACTTGGCAGAACAGAAAACCAAAGTTTTTATGAAAATACGTACCTTTGGGAATTTAAACTCGATATTCTCAAAAATTGAAGAAATTCAACCCTCACGTATGGTTTCAGCAACTTCTATTCTATAAAATACAAGTCTATTTTTTCAAAGATAGGAGCCAAAACTCAGTTCGACAAAACAGAAAAATCATTTTTTATGAAAATAGCTTCTTTTGTGAATATTAACCAGGTTCGTTCTTCCGGTATTCAGCAACTTCCATTCAAACTTCCATGTTTTTCAAAGGACAGAGCCAACATTCATCTTAGCTGATCAAGAAACCCAAATTTCTATAAAAATAGTACTTTTGTGAATGTAAACCCAGTATTCTCAACAATTGTGCTTGCTTAAAAAAATCTAGTATCCGGTATGAACATACGAAGGTCCATTCTTCCATTTCTCAGCCTAATTTTCAAAGGATGTGAATCTCACAAGAACGAGGAAGGGGTCTAAAGGAGCGGAATCTACGCTAAAAGTCAGTTAAATCATTTCAGGAAAGTTCAGACTAACATTAAATAAAATTCAATCACTCAACATAAAAGTTTGGACTCCCTACCACTTCAGAAAAGATGTTACTGTATTTGGAAAATTTAAGCTCAAAAAGTGTTAGAAAACTAAAAGACCTAAACAAGATTGTGTCTTTGCCAAATGCCAAAGCAGTTGAGAACAGTTCGGAAAAAGTTGAGTCAATGCAGGAAACCTATGATTCATTTAGGAAAGGGATAAAATCAGCTAATGTTGCCACACTTCAGAAAATGCGAAACCAATTCTTTAAAGATTGGATTCAGGATTTGTTTAATCACTTCAGAAAAGCTTTGAAAACTTTAAAAAGGATTGAATAACATAGCAGAAAAGTTTAGACTTAGTTGGAAAAATGATGATGACTTATTCGAAAGTTTGAACTCATTTCAGCAGAAAAGTTCAGACTCAGTTTTGAATCTACTTTGAAAAGTGGCACCTCAGTTAGGAATTTCCTTAATCGTTTCTGATTTGGTCTCACTTCTAAAAAAAATTAAACCAATTTTGAAAAGATTGAATTTAGCTCGGAAATGGTTGAATCACTGTAGAAAAGAATTGAATAATTTAATGTCATTGCAGCAGGTTTGTATGTTAAGAAATTTAGACCGAATGCAAAAATATGGCGACTATGGTGGGCTGGGCCCATCGTAACAATGTCGGATAACGACCCAATGAGAATGGTTCTTGGTAGTGATCCGACTGGAACAAAACGAAGATGTGCGCAACTAACAAGATCAGATTGAAGACGGCTTACCTAGTGAGTTGCCAAAAAAGATTAGGAATGAGTTCGATAAAATCCGTTTTCAACAACTGAAACCGGCTGATTCGATTTCAAAGACCTGGCATGCCGTACCGGTCTAGTTCAAATTTATGTAAAAATTCTGTTAAAGAACAAGGTGATATTCTACAACATAATAAGATCTAGCAAAGCGAGTATCCATACCCAAATGAAATAGCGATACTCGAAAAATAAATATAAACTGAAATTTTTTTTATTTCCCCCTTTATGATATTCCAAAATTTTGAAGGGGAGGGGGGGGTGACAAAAGAAAAACTTGAGATTTGTTCCGGCCATATAGGTTCCAAGACGACAAGAAAGAGAAGAAAAAAGCCCAACGATAAATCCACGTTTGATAATGTATTCACTACTAAGTGATTTAATCACATTGATTATCCTTGAATTTAGTAAAGTACCATTGATAATTTTCTACTGAACCAATTATATTTGACATCTAGTTGGAAATACTTTGCTATCGTTCTCAACCTCCACCTTAATTATTTAGAGTGAAATTTTCCGGAGAACTATTCTTTAAAAACTATGGTAAAAAGCAAAGCACTGCATTACCCACCATACACAATGAATTTCTTGTTCGTGCTAATCGTTCTTTCGGTGGCTCGCTGTGCTGCGTCCTTAAACGTGGACTTGGTCAGAGATTTTCTCAAGTTAAAACAGTCAAAAAATGTGGTATTTTTCCTGTGTCATCCATCAGAGTGTAAGTTCGTGTGACATAGATCTACGCTGGTAGTTGTTTTGAAACCGTTTCTTAAACTTTCAGCCCCCAAAATGTTCACCACTTTAAGCAATATTAAGGTGCTTGTGAAGATAGTGGACATGGAAAACAGTGATTCCATACATCCGCCTGATATTTTACCGCCGTCAATATACGCTCGAACGTCGTGTGTGCTTGACTATGGCTGCGAATCAGCGCCCTTAGCTTTGCAAAAAGTTAGTTCAAATCAGATCAATCATTGTTAGTTGGTAAATTCATAGTTGGATTGTTTGAAGTTTTCAGAGTATCAATATTTTAATACGACCTTCAACTGGCTGTTCATAGCCAACGATAATTCATCGGTAAAGTTGGAAAAGCTAATTTGGGACTTGAATGGAATTCAAATGAACTCGGACGTTACAGCGATAGCACCCGCTGCGGATAGTATGGGAACGTCATACGATTTGCTGGATATATATGCACCTGGAAAGCATTTGTGTAAGGATGTTTACCAGCTAAAATTTGCTGAGTGGAATAAGTATGAAGGCACGGTTATCATTCCCGAGTTCAGCCGGTTCAATTCGAGAAGGAATTTCAATGGACTTCGTCTGCGGGGCGTCACAGTGGTTTGAAAAAAAAATGATCGAAGTTTATACTAAATTAAGATGCGAGTGAAACTACTAAGAAAACTATGGTTTCAGATTGACCGTGATAACCTTACCTCCGACGATGTTGACGGAATATTATCGGCTCCCGGAAGAGAGCAGGGTGTCGTTTTTTTCATCAAGTACCATTATGCGTTGTTGAGTATGTTGCGTGAATATCACAATTTCACGTACGTATTTCTAGAGCACCCAATCTCAGGATTAATAATTTTGTACGGATTTCAGAATCAAATATCGCATCGCTAGAGGTTGGGCTGGACGCCTGAAATCAGGCTACCGGTTGGGTTTGCTTGGAATTTTGTCTCGGAACGAAGCAGATGTTGCAACGACCGGCGTTTTCCAACGACTTAATCGGCATGCCGAATTTGATTTTATTCATCACAGCTGGGAATTTTCGTAATCTAGTCAAATGTGTGGAGTGTGAATGTCCCATTTCTGAATATATTTTATTTAAGGGCTGGATTTTTGTATCGTATGACACCGCTGTTGCGAGATTCATCGGGTACAGGAAGTTTTTTCACGCCGTTTGATAACATGGTTTGGATGGTATCAGCTGTCACGATAATTGCAGTCTTGCTTGTTCTGAAGCTTGCATCTTTGATAATTACGAGATTGAAAAGATATGAGCCAAACAGTTCATTTATAACTTACGCTGTCGACATCATTGCAACCGTTGCTCAGCAGGGTGTCTCCAACCAAGTGTCGAATCGGGTGTCAATAAGAATCATCATATTTTCATTGCTTTTCCTAACACTGCTCCTCTACAATTACTACACCTCATCTGTGGTCGGTAGTCTGCTCAGTTCACCTGGAAAAGGTCCACAAACTATCAAAGAAATCACGGATAGTCCTCTAAAGCTTTCGTTTCTGGATATTGGTTATCATAAGGTCTTGTTTACGGTAAGTTACATGTTTGCATCTGTATGATGTTGATAGGTCATAAATCAGACACTAACGCAACGTTTTCTTGCAGGAGACTAAGGACCCATCTATTCGTGAGATGTACAGAAAAAAGGTAACACTTTCACTTTGCATCTCATTAAAACACAATTTGAATATGTTTTCTCACTTTTCCCCGCCCATCAACACCGACTTCTGGCAAACGCGCCATCAAATGTACAACTTGACGTGAAACATATCGATCTGCAACGGCACAGGTGCAACCATCTCGTGAGGGTAAACAGACGATACCGGTCTTCACGGATGTACTGACGGCCGTGCCATATCTCAAACACGGTGGCTACGCGTTCCATTGCGAAATGACCGAGGCGTTTCAAGACATTGCCAACCAGTTTGATGCATACGAAATTTGCGAGCTACGCACGGTAATTAAAGATATATCAGACGGTCGTTGACAGTTGGTTTATCCTATATTTTTTCCGCATTTAAAGGGCGTCAGTCTGTTTTCGGATTTGAAATTGTTGGGGATGATACTGCCAAAAAGAAGCATGTACACGGAGCTGTTCAAAACCACGTGAGGAAATGATTACCGTGAAGGATCAGATAAGAAAACCGAATAATGTTTAATCACATTTTCCAGATTGATGCGAGCTCAGGAGGTTGGGCTTATTAAGCGTACCCTTAAGATTCACAGACCGGAGAAACCTATTTGCCAGGTTGGCAGTCGGATACATCCGGTGGAGTTGTACAGTGTTAAAATGGCATTTTCCGTGCTGGGTGGTAGGACTGCTGCAGTGGACATGGCCTTTGGGGAAGTTTTATAACTTTCATTTTTCCGGTTTACATTTTCAGTTGGATTCGGAGTATCGCTGATTTTGCTTTTCATCGAACGGCTGTGGTATAATTCGGTGCTCAAACGGGAGTCCATGAATTTCATCAATTGAAGTCAATTAACACTTTGCAGAATGGCAATAGTTGATCTCAAATATGTGCCCCCAACAAACTAGTTGTAGATATTCTCTTATAAGAACTGTATTAACACTATTGAATACCATCGGACGGGGTTTCTTTTTTATGTAAGTGAACTTTAACAAGCTTGTATGAAACAAATAAAGTAGATAATAATAGAATGTGGTAAAGGGTGGAACGCTCAAATATTGGTCGCCTAAAATTTGGTGTATATTTTTTAATCGTGCAAAAAGTCGTTAAAACACTTGAACACCCCTCATTTTGTAGGTGTGTGTGTACGGAATGTTGCCTCTAGTTTGTTATTGCCATTTACTATTTAGTTTTCAAAATGGCGTCGAAGCAAGGGGAACAGCGTATCAAAATTATGCTCGCGCATAATCAAAATCCCAATTTTTTTACGCAGACTCGGCAAAATCGCTGAAATTGACCAAATCGACAGTGACAAACGTTATAAAAGTGTTTGAGGAATGTCTGATGACTGCTAGGAAACCTTGATCAGAAGGAAACCGATAACAGGATGCCGCAGCGACCGGTGGAAAAGTGACCGGCGTTTTCAAGCGGTCACCTTCAGAGATGGCGGGAAGAAGCTGGGAATATCACACACACAACAGCGCAAAGAACCAAGAAACGAGCCGGACTGTCAACATACAAGGTTAAAGCGACACTTAGCACGTAAGTTGAACACGACACTGTTGACCAAGTTTGATTGCGACATAATGGACGATGAAACATATAGTATGTGAAGGAGGATTTCAAGCAGCTCCCAGGTGAAGAGTTTTACACGACTACCGGACAGGTTAAAGATAAGTTTAAGCAGAAAAAGTGGTTAAAGTTCCCGAAAAATTACTTGATTTGGCAGGCGATTTGCACATGTGGGCTGAAAAGTGGAATTTCCGTGACAACTGGCACTGTTTACCAAGATAATTATGTAAATGAATGTTAGCAAAACGCCTGTTGCCTTTTTTGAAGAAACACAGTTATTCCGTGCTGCATTGGTCAGACTTCGCTTCCTGTCACTACGGGAAAATGGCTCAGGAATGGTATACCAACAACAACGTTCAATTTGTACCCAAGGACAAAAACCCTTCAAAATCGCCGGAGCTGCTCCCAATAAAAAATATTGGGCAATCGTTAGGCAAAACTTCATGAAAACTCAGAAAAAAGTTGAAAATGAGAAACAGTTCAAAGTAAATTGGCAGTCATCATCAAATATGGTTGATACCCCAACAAACAATTGAGAGCTCTTATAAAACACCTGAGTTGATCAAACGTTGAATAATAGCTTCCACAGTTGAACAAGAATGTAGTTGTATCAACAATCAATACGAAACTAACGATTTTAAATTGGCTCACCACTTTAGTAGCCTATTGGTCCCAAGCAAACGATTAACGTACCCTATTCTAGTTGAAATTCTATTACTACATTATGTTTGTTTTGATTCGCTATGAAAGTTTGACAGATAACATCAGGGGTGTGTGGATTCATGCAGAACATGCAGGGGTGAGTGAAATAGCTTGGGACTGCTTGGGACCGTTGTTCTGGTACTGAGTGAGCCAAAAATAATAATGATTTTCTTCGGGACCCAGTGGTCTTAGAGTTACCTCTATGGTTGTATTGCCATTTGATTAAAAGTTTTAAAAGCTGTTGGAGCACTCTTAAATGATTGTTTACGTTCGGTTTAACTATATGCTTTATAAGACCTACGATAACTTTTATAGCACCTTTGTTAAACTGATTGACAAGAGCTATATAGAACATGAAATAAACGCATCAAAACAAACCATTGGAAGCTCTTATAAAACACCTGAGTTGATCAAACATTGAATAATAGCTTCCAGAGTTGTACAAGAATGTAGTTGTATTTCCATTTGGTTAAAAGCTTCAAAAGCTGCTTGAAGCACTCTTAAATGATTGTTTACGTTCGACCAACCACCAACCACAATATTGTTGCTAAAAATAGCACAAGTGATAGGCACGTTTATATGACCATAAGGCAATGATTATTCGACTGCAAGAGAAGTCACTCAAGATGAGCTTTATATACTTCTCTCATATGATCAAAATATGTATTCAAGAATAGAGCAGATGGAAACAGAAGCGGCTGGCAATCCGGGATCATGAGTTCGAATCTTGCTTCGAGAAACCCTCGGTGGAGTAGAGGTAAATTATATATAGGTGTTATTAATAAATGCAAACATTAATTTAAGACATATATCATATAATCAACGCTAACATTTCTAGATAAATTCTCTTAATTAATGATTAGAGAGATTAATTGAAAGAATATCAAAATCAAAGATTAAACAGATGCTTGTTACTACCTCCTCCATGATCACAGAATGTGAATTATGGCATAATTACATATTTTTTCAATGTGCACAAATAAATTAAATTAATAAAAACTGTACAAGAAATTATTTTGGCGTACCACGACAATTGTTAAACCAATTTTAATCTGTGAATATTGTGCAGGGTTGCTTCCACTCACTTGCTATAAAAAAATATTATTCGTAATTATGCAATCATTAGATGCAATAATGCCATGTTGTACTTGTAAGTAACAAGAAGAGGTAGTAAAGTATGTGTTTGACACATAAAACCTGTCAATTTCGCTTTGAGAGCGTCACAATTAGCGATCTTATGATTCGTGAGCGTTCACTCAGAGTGAGCGCTCACGAGTCGTAAAATCGCTGATTGTGACGCACTGAAAGCAATATTGACAGACTTTATGTGTCAAACATATACTTCATGACCTCTTCTTGTAACTTATTAGTACTAATCAGTATTATACTATATCATGATTTCATAATTCCGAAAAACATTTTTTTATAGCAAGTGAGTGGAAGTAACCCTGATTGTGAGTACTTACACAACGGTTATTAAGGAGTCATTAAAAAGTGCTATAAACGCCTTTCACCGCTTGCTGTATAGTGATTATTTAGGAGTCATAAAAGAGTGTAACAAACGCCTCTCAGGTTCAATCTCTACTAAATTTCAAAGCAGCTGTCAAGAAGTGTCTACAAACGTTGTATAAGAGCTTTCACCAAAATAATAAAGCTTGAGTTTAAATATGTATCTATAAACGTTGTATAAAAGTTGCTTCTACTCCTATACCGCGTATACATATAATGCTGTAGTTGAACAGGTTCTCCAAACCAGTGTAAACAAGAGTTTTACAGAAGTTGTAATAAACAAATTGTACAGTTATTATTCAGCATGCAGTTGAATAAAAACACAATGGAAGCGTTTCTTCAACAAGAAATTGATTTTGGGTAAACGTTTTACTGAATACGTTACACTGAAAATAAAATTTCGTTTATACAACGAAATCGCTCGTTTGTTCTACGAATTTATTCGTTGTTTTCTGCAACAAAATGGATTTGTAAATTGTATGAAGCTAGTTTCGTTAGCACTGCCACACTCGCTATCGCTACACCCAACCAGCGGGCCACAAGTGTTGGTTGTGGAAACCGAAAAATGAGGAGTGTGTTAGTGAGGATGGGTAAAAATAACTTCATCATTGGAAGGAATAAATGACAAAAAAAAAAAATAAAATTAGGCCTAAGACCGGACTCGACTCATGAACCTTGCGATCATTAGATCTGTACTTTATCCATCGCTCTATCTGTGCTATCAGAATAATAAAGGCAAATAAGAAGCACTCATGGAGCGGTACTTCGATTTTTCTTGCTTTTTCTGCTGCTTGCATGTATTTTTTTTCTCTAACATAAAACCACCGCGATGATTTATTGTGGTAGCTTGCATGTATTGGTCAAACCGACAATATTTCTAAAAAAAATATCCCATCTCCAACACACAATCAGCACTATAGGAGACAATAAGCGCGGTTGTTGGTTTGATTGTACGAAGATGTATTTGTATATTATACGAATAAGGCGTAATATTGACATTGCGCCAGATGACAGGAAAAACGAATGTTTCATACCATTTACCAAAGATGTGTTGTATGTACGATATTCATTTTTACGAAACGGTTTTCAGAGAAATAACGAAAATACATTTTCAGTGTAGACAACACCTTTGTGTTGCAGTTGTATAGGTTCTCCAAACCAGTGTAAACAAGGGTTTTATAAAAGTTATGGTGAACAGATTGTGCAATTATTATTCAACACGCAGCTGAACAAAATCAAAACGAAAACGTTTCTTCAACTGGAAATTGTTACTTGGGACAACAGTGGTAAAAAATCTGATGGACGGTGTGAAACGTAAAGCCCAGCAGTTCGAATTTGGAAAGTCAGAAGCCTAATACAATAATATTCCTGTTTTTTGTAGCCGTTGAACTTCAAAAAGAAACATTATCAGTGTGCACTTTATTATATTTGACCAATTTTTGACCGTTCCACCCTTCATACATCTAATAGGAAAACCTTTATGGTGTGTTATGAGAAATATCTGAACATCCAACAACATGATTGTAGAAAATGTTCGGCATATAGGCAGTCGGAAATGTTCACAGAGGGGCTACTTTGGACACGTGATAAATTTTCATCTCTTTTGCTTATTAAATGGACAAAATCAATAGACATCATAAACTCCATCTAAAAACAAACTGCCTGTTGTCCGATCAGTCAAATTACTGGTTTAACAGAAATTGCAAAAAAATCATGAACTTTTGGCAGCGGCAGCGGCAATGGTAAGTTCAATCCCAGTCGGCGCCGCCGGGATGTTCTGAGGCATAACATCTCTGATCACGCCTTCCTTTGGAAGGGAAGTAAAGCCGTTGGTCCCGGGTTCATAAGTTGATGGGTCGATAGGTAGGATCCAGGTGTGGGTGCTGCCTCCCTGGCGTCGGTAGCATTGGTGCTCAGCTCGTAAAACAAGGAAAAAATTAATTTTTGGTATGATGGAGATTTAATATGGATAAACATCAACTCTCTTTCCTTTACCTGGCTATAACATTTCTATAAACAATTTTCATATTCAATATCCTGCACTACCCGCTATTAAAGGGTG